GTGTGTGACTGTCGTGTGGTATGTGTGGTGTCGCTCTCCTTTATCTACAGAGCCAGCCAACCAGACGCGGCTGCAAAACATGTATCATATTTTGTTATTACAGTCCGCGTATTTTCTTGTTATGCGAGACATCTGGCTAAAACACTGACCTCCTAGCTACCGTTTGAGTGTTATTCAATTGGCAAGCATTTGAAGGAAATGACTAGGTTCGGTGTTTATCATTCATCTGTTGAGATTGTGAAAAAACCAGTAATCTTGGTTGGATACGAACCCACGCATGGACCCTGTCTACACCTTTGTACAGCGCATGATTTTGGATCTGGTGTTAAAAAACTAAGAACAGATGGTAGAAACGATGTCTACTACAGCCCCATCAGGGCACGGTGATCATGCTGTTTTGTCGTTCGACTATATTTGCTACGCATCTTCACCGCGAATTTCTACGGATAACAATTGCGCGTTTATTAGTTGCCAGAAATCTAATGTGTTTTTCCCAAAAAATGTATGATCTTTCTGGTGAAGATTGATAAATTACCTTGTGAAATGGGGTGAAGGTGCTGATAAACAATAAACAAACTAACTCAACTGGTCAAAAATTCCCGATTCGAAGTAGAACAAAGAGGTGGATTTCGCAGAGGAATTTCTCATAAAGAAAGTACAAAAGATGTCTTAACAACACCACATGGAATGCCTACTGTTTATCGCGAAAGCACTGCACCAATTTGGTGCAAGAAGACAAGTAAACTTACCAAGATAGGCTGACACAAAGGTTAATATCCCATCCAAAACGGACAGAGATGCCTTCCCAAAAGTCAAGTTTGGATTTCCAGTGCGAAGTTCGACAGGATGTGTCCCAGCCGCAACTAAGCAGGTAGCTCTTATACTAAAAGCTCAATATGTTCCAGTGTTAAATGCATCTGCTCACTTCAAGCCACGAATACCTCAGGTAACATTCAGTACATGTCACAACTATTTTTCTCAACAAAAGATAAAATTGAAAGCATTGGGTGAAAATAAATTCGCTTCCAGGGATAGAATACACTCATCCACAAACCCTTATCACTCTGGGCATTAAGTGAACTATTCCGGCTTATGTTCAATTACAATCAACTCCCAAAATTACAAAAACAAAGAACGATTTCGCCTATATACAAAAGCGGCTGTTGTAGTAATCCGTCACTTTTCTTTCTGTATTTTCCGAAGTTATGGGATCCACTGTTGTAGACATCGCGATGGAAACATCGAACAAAGAACAGGAACGGAGTGATAAAGCGAGGATATCTGATATTGGCGATCAAAATCGTACTGACAAGTCGGCATGAGGTGATAGGTGATTTTGTGATCAAAAACGTTCCAAGTGCCCAAAATCGTCCCATGCTGGATGAAGCAATCAGGAAATTGTAACTTTGACACTCTGGGTCATCGCCACAGAACTGAAGATTCGGGCAGCAAATGTTGGGTGAGTCCTTTACCGTGTAAAGCCATAACATGTGCTTATTACCAAATTGTAACAAACGGTGAATCCATGGAGATTCTGGTTTGCCTGAGCGGTTTCAAGGATTCAGGGTTGTCATGATTATTTCGAACTGATTAACTTGCAGTATAGTTCAGGCGTCATTACATACAATCCTTTTTTTACACAACGGTGTTGATTGTTGTTTTTATACTGTACATTTTCGGAAGCCTAGTCCCCTGGTACTGGGAAGCGAAAAGTTTTGATGTGTGTGTTTTGCCTATGCATAAACTGATAATTCCCTCTCCTCACCCCTCATTCGTTGGAACAGAATAAGTAGCCCAACTGTTCCTGAACATGTGCAAACTTACCTACACACCTCCAAAAGCCTCAGTATAGTCGGGGGTGGGTGTCTAGAGTTGCGGCTAGTCACCCTCCCCTTGCACCTCGCCAAATACTCCCATACAACCAAGCGTCTCAAACAGCCACTGTTGAGGAAGCCCTACTCACTGCCTTCTCGTGGGACGGAGGTGTTGTCCCACCAAAGTGAGGGGACGAATAGCCGACATCCGGGGCTATAACCGGATCGGTGGACCACTGGCAATTCACTTAGGGGAGTTGGCCAAAAACCTTGATTCCAAACCAACTAAGAAGAGGCGTACGAAACAGTCACACCTTCCCGGTTGTAGCGGTTGTGGTCACCGGTTCGACTGGGCGTCGAGATGTATTGGGCACCTGGGACGTTTGACCCCGTCCGAAGGGCGAATGATCCGATGAACTGGACCCCAGCCCCCAATGGATTGTGGTTTTCTACCACCACTCCGCTGCCTTGCCGGTTAGGCTTTGGCTAACCGAAGGCTCCGGTTGTGGATTCCTCAAGAGAATTCACCGGCCTTGGTCTGGGCAACCTGGCAGTATTCCGTCACTTTCGACGCACAATCGACCCTTTTCTTCTTCTTCTCTCTTCATTATTTTTTTCATCCGATATATACATTGCATATGAAAGTAAAAACTTCGAAGTATTCGGCTATAATAGATAGGTTGGGATAGGTGTATCAAAACCCCATTTCAGACCTGAGCACGATCGATCGCTGACATGACCAGCTTACATTCATATACGGTCCAAAGCGGAAAACAATTCCAACTGGCGGCAGAAAACAATAACAAAAATGATCCTGCAATCAAACAGATATAGTGGAGTTCAACCAGGTGCAACATTCCAGTAACAAAAGGTGATGACAAAATAATGGAAGGAGTTTTTATAATGAATATGAATGACTGGACAAACAATTCCCAGAAGCGCACGACCGCGGTGTTTGCAACTAATTCACATCGGGAGTTCAAGTATAAGAATAAACAAATAAGATGTTACCGGATAAGCATACCTGACAAGCGACAAGAACTGCGAAATTCATCTTGTGTTTCTGGGAAATTTTATCTGGTCATTCATATACTACTCAACACAAAAACACTGCAGATAGGCCCTGAAGTCGAAGTAGTTGAGGTTAAACGCGTCTAAGCCACAACACCCAAAAAACAATCATCGTCGAGACTTGCTCATATCGAATCAACTCCCTGAGGTGTAAGTAAGACTTGCGCTGTCCAATTGGAAGAGACTGACTGAAAAGTAGAAACAGATTAGAGACTGTTACTCTTTCGAGGCGATACGTTTCAAATTGCGTTATGTGTGGAGAGAAGTGTGACTGATTTCGTTTATGTGGATGTTGGGGTGAATAAAATCGTAATTTACGGCTCCCCTCGTGCCCATCTTGAGATATCTACCAATATCATCTTATAACCTGCGCTTTTAGAAGAGTGCGAGAATCAAGTACCGATATCCGAAGCTGAATATAAGTTGGAAAGGTAGTGATAACTTATCTGACATGATTCTATAGAATTTTACTTCCAAAAGAAGACCGTACCAGCTGAGCAAAGGATGGTTTGCACGTGACGGACACGAGATCGATTATGCTAGGCAGCAGAAATTATTGGTCGCCCTGGATTGGACAGGCATGTACGAATACAGCGCTAAGAAGTATGGAACAATCATATTTTATAAAAGCTAAAGTCAAAAGTTCACTTCAATACGATCAAGTTCCTTATTAAAAATCGATTCAATAAATAGACGTACTAGTGGCGTTGGACAGCTATGTCCGGGTGACGCATTATCCGGCAATACGGTATCCTCGGGTTGGTGCACAGAGGACAGACAATGAATTGATATGGACCGCACTTCCCGGTCGGTGTTGGTTTGGCTCGACGGTGGCACGTATGGGAGTTGTCGCGATCGGAGACTACCGGAGATCCCGTGTCGCTGAATCAGTTCAGCTACTGGTGGATCCGTATACAGATAATCGGTTGTTCTTGTACGGGAGTAGTCCACCGCACACGGTCCACCTGTAACACAGTGGACAGATGGGCTAGCGGTCATTTAGTCACATGATTTGGACAACTAAAGATAAGCATTTGATCTGAACAGATGGATTAGTAATAATAATAACCATGATAATGAAGGTATATTCACAAAGCTTCGTGAAGCATGCATAAGCATGATCATATGTACAACACAATCACATTTACAAAAAAAGAGCAGAAAAATTTAAGTTCGCAGTGCACTTGGTGCATAGAGGGTAGGGATTACACAAGTGAACTGAAACGGATCGAACGCTGCAATGCAAATGGAACACAAAGCGGACAAGGTCACAGAGACATATGGTGAGGATGGCGGAATGCTCTACATGAGCATATCAGCGGAAAAAGAACAAAACAGGAATCTTTATACCAAATGGACAGTGAGATGTTTGGACGTGCGACGATCAAGGAGTAAAATGACTAGTTTGATTGAACAAGAGGAGGACGAACATTTTTGAACATTTGCTGCGCATATTGTTAAATAAAACCACATTGAACATGTTTACTCGTCAGAAGAGCCTTGAACACCAGTGTATCGGCATGGATATAGCTCATGTAGTTATTGATTGTGTAATAGCTCTTGCATACAACATAAAGGCAGTGTTCAAAAACGAAATATACCTATTCAAAGCTGAAACCGTGTCAGAGATTGTTTTGTTTTTGTTAGCCGTAAACTCGCTTGAGATCAGCAGGTTTGATGATGTTTTTGCTTCAAATCGATTGAAAAGTGACAAACTATGACAAAGAGAACAAAGAGTGAGCAAAAGAACGAGAAAACTGATGGTTGAGAAAAGACAGTGTGCAAAAACAGCGTTGTTTACTAAACCAGATAACCATGTCATAGTGTCAATTTTACGATACTCTTCTTCCCGACCATCTCAGTTTTGACGAAGCAACATCGAGGAGTGTCAGTGTTTATCACCTAGAAGCGGTAACCTGATTTGGCAGAAGTGATATGCCAAACACCGTCAACGAAAGTGCATGGCACTACTGATTTAAAGCCATGACCAGGTGTACTCACTCTACGGCTGATTAGTTGACCGATCAAACAAAAGCGGTACTATGAAGAATTTCATGCCAGCTGATGCTAATCTCACATTTGCTGTATGTGCAGCACAATCTTCTGTGGAGAAAAAAAACAAGGCTCAGTTGTTCAGCTTCCTTTAGTTAAGGCGAAAGCATTGCTGCAGAAATGAATATTGCATCGAGAAAGCTGAGAGAAAGGGTTCTAACCAGAACGTCTAAATGTGATGCACTCTCTACCGAATCTCAGTGGTGAATCTTGTTTACCGGTTGTTCTTTTTATTCAATCTCTGGGGATTGGAGCAACAAGATTTGGCAACATTGTTTCTTACCTAGAAAATAAAGAATGAGAATACTTTTTGTTCATTCGGAAGGCTGTCGATTGGGGAGGGGTTCAGTAGACCATTTTTGCAGAAAGATCATAATCATAATCATCATCATAATAATCATAAAGTTCTATTTATAATACCGCCTGGGATTACTGTTTGGTAGTTTGTTTCACTACGCTGTGAAGTAAAAAGGGGCTGAGCAAATGAAAACCAAGTAGTCGAAGAGATTGAGACCATAAGTAACGGGTAAAACAGAGAAGTAAGGCGTTACATAGTCTTGCACTTCACGGAGAAAAGGAGGACAGAAAAGCAGTTGTTCGGAATTCGAGGACGGGATGTACATAAAACCAGAGTGGAAGAATTAAGCACAAGTGGAAAGGAAAACCGCAAGAATAAATGGAAGGAGACACAGAAGCATAGCCTCAAAAATTGAAACTGAAAGCCCGATCGTGGATAAGATGAATGAATTTCGGTTGGATTTAAGGAAGGAAGAAGCGAGATGGTGTTGCGCTTAGAGGCAACTTGGAATATGTGTTAGACAGATCAGCTCATGGGATAGGTCTCTCAAACACACTCCGAGGGAACACACGTGGAGTGTTCTCTGCCTTAACAGCCCTCACTGAATCGAACGCATCCCACTCGTTTCTTCGACAAAACTCGTTGTTCCCATTAAACGTTGATCCCGTGCACAATAGTGCTTATTCCGTCTCATTAATGTGGCGTATATTTAACTTCATTTCTTTCCATTTTCGAACACTAATTTGCTTTCTTAATATCCATCATCTTTCAGTGGGATCAAAGGAGTACGCAGGGCCCCGGTGCGCTGTTATCAATGCAAACCGTGTCTCAGAATACGACCCCGGTATCCACTGAAAAAGGACTCCTTCAAAAATTACATCTTATTTGGTTGTTGGAATGAACCACCACCGTTGATAAAGACAGGTTTGGAGCATTAGGAAAAAATTCCCTCACCGTCTGCCATAAGGTCCCCGCTACGCTGAAAAAAAAACAGATGTATAACTGTGCGTGGTCACCAGGCTGCCTACCAGAGATTCGCAACAACAACGAATACAGTTTTGGAAGAGTGAAGTCCATGGGCACATTAGATCGAAATAAAACCAACTGCACCCGGTGGCGAACAGTAAGGTATTCATCTCTCTTTTCTGTCTGCTTCTATCGGTGCATAGATTTGCATACCGACCACGGACATTAATCTCGACTATAGATTACTTTGTTACTGATTCGCCTCTAGGTATGTCACGAACCCGTAACACCTGGTTTTGGTTACACCCTACTTTTCGTTCTCAGGATATGAAACCCACACGTTTTCTCACACTTTGCCGTCCGTTCAATCTGTTTGATAAACTCCGAGATAACTCTCGTTGCAAACTTGAAAAAGGGAGGGGGGAGAAAAACAAAAGCGGAAGGATCACTGTGAACACACACATCTCCAAGAACCATCATGCCATCTCCGTTGATTGTATCACTGCAAAAGCAGTGCGATCTGTGTGACAGACCTCCAATAGTGGCCTACTCTGTGCCTGCCAATATGATTGCTACACGATTTTGGCGATCTACCGCCTCCACTCAACTACTCCTATCCATTCGGAATCGATTATTCGAAGGAATTTGCTTCTCTCGTTCCGTTCAGCCTCCTTTGAGTGTGTCTGACACAAACGGAGAACACTGAGAACGCCATACTGCCTGGTATATGTGAAGAATGAAGCATGCGGATGAAGCTAGGCCGGAAAAGTGACGCGCCATGAGCTGGGTGATTCATTGAATGTGTTCCGGACAGGCACAGCACATATCTTTTTTGCAGAATACAACAGTCTGAGATCAACTTAATCCAGTCCTATTGGAAGACGTGCACCATAAATGTCACGCGGTGCAAGACACCAACTAACACGAACGAAGATTAAACTTCAATTATTATTACTCTCTGGACTGTCATCACCTCCAGCTGTCAGTTGTATTTTGGCGAGAAGCGATGATCTGAGAGAGAGGAACCAGACTGACAAAAAATAGTAATGATTTTCACCGAGTATGTGAGCACCAAACAGTAGTGAGACTACAGAAGAAATGGGCTTTTTTCTGCGAATGATTAATGAAGTCGTTGAATAAGAAAATGGGGCCTGTGATTAGAAGTTTGAATCCGATGAATTAGCGTGAATGAAAAAAACAGTCCAATAGGAGTTTTCTCCTCTTCCTCCTGTTAAGCTTGCCCCGGAACACAAACACACTTACAATAAAATACTGATTAGTATTCATAGATTAATGATATCGTAGCTATAGCGACCCCCTGGCCCCAAAGCTTCAATCAGTTTGAGTCTCATCTAGAGTAAGATGATAACATTGGGCCACTAAGTGAAGATCCAAGTAAGTTGGAAGCTTTTCTGGATAGCTTGAGTGTCAGCGTAGCCATGTTCGGTATACGTGGATGAAATAAAGTTCAGGGTGGGCAAAATGAAGATCTGGTATGAGGGTATGAAAATCCTGACCAGGAGTCTGGATCACATAGGTCCCGTTAGGCTTCCTGAATGGGGACCTCGGGATGATCGTAATCGAGGGTTAAAGAAACTGTGGGATATGGCTGAGTGTCATTGTTGTTGTTTTTTTAACTATCTAACTTGGAACCACGAAACCATGGACAGTTTAGAATATCTGGTAGACTGCTAGCCATGAACCGGGTTGGTAAGTTTAGTGAGATTAAATCATGCGACTAGCATAAATTCTCCCTTAAGCAAGTGACTGAATAAGTTAGCTTCAGATGTGTGAAATCTAACCAAAAAACTCGAGTGTACGAGACCGGGCAGCACTGAGCCTATCACTTCGCGGAAGCACCTCTAACCCCAGTATTTCCAAGTGTTGTCAGATGGGCAATAGGATGATGGCAATGATCCAATTAGACAGTGAATAAAATTGGTTCAAGGGACAAAACATTCGAGCGACTACTCGGACAGTAACGCTGATCATGCATCACCTGTTATTCAATGGAGCGGTGACACCTTTATCCAGTGAATAAATAATCATCATAGTGGATCAATTTCCTTCTCCATCCGTCAAAACAAGCCCGGATTCCCAACCGCCTCACTCATATCGCATGATGCATTGTGGGTTTGGCTGCGGCCATAGGAGTTCGCATCATTGTATATTACGTTGAACGTTGTACAGGCCAAAAATGTATTCCGTTTTCCATCCAGGCCGTTCTTTTATCCACAATCTGGAAATGCGTGCAGCGTGCAACCTTCCCCCCCCCCCACACACACACCGGGTGAGCTACAGTTCCCACAGAAAACGGTCACCAATACTTTGCTCCCGATCATCACAGATGAACGTTTCTGATGGGCGGACGTTTGTACCAACCACACGAATTCTCTCAACCAGTATCGCGCTGATGTGAAAGATCATACTCCAAACCGACTGATACTGGCCGTACGTGAACTCGGAGTGATTAGAAGACCGATGAGAATGTGTGAGCAAACGTTTGTCATTCGAAATGAAATGTAGGGAACTAGCCTGGCTATGCACTTCGCAATTCAAAGAACCGATGTGGCAATGTAAGTTCGCATCCGTGAGCTACGATTTCGAGCAAATTAGCCTACAAATGTTATCGAGGTTAGTAGACATTATTCATGGCACGGTCGATTAACCAACTGCCCGCATTTTGATGAGTTCATACGTGCTGGCATTTGTGTGTGTGTGTG